TTTATCATTAATATGCGGATGAATAATCAGCCAATCAGTCCCCTAACAACAAGTTTTGGGTGTGTAAGAAACATACACAGCACATCATCATCTCTTGTACCTCTCACCCCGAAACGGTCATGTGACCCGATGTTTCTGAATTTGTGTTCACAGTAATTTTCATGTTTCTCATTGTGAAATGTTTAAAAACGAACTTCGTTCATGAAAATTTCTGTGCCCTTCTTGCTCTCAGCGGGCTTGGCAGGACGCGTTCCTCCTCCTTTCTCTCCCTCTCTCTTCTCCCTCTCTTCTTCTCCCCTCTTCCCATTCTCTCTCTCCTCCTCTTCTCCTTCTCTCCATCTCTCTCTCTCTATGTTTCTTTCTCATCTATGTCCTTCTCATCTCTCTCTCTCTCTCCTCTCGTCTCTTCTCTCTCTCTCCCTCTCTCTCTCTCTCTATTCTCTCTAATCTCTCTCTCTCTTATTATATATATATATATAATAATATATATATATACATCTGTCTTTCTCTCTCTCTTCTCTCTCTGCCATTCAAAAAAGAAATATGAATGGCCTCTCTCCCTCACCTTCCGGCATCCCCAAAGCACAGCTGATAACTGCAGCGAGATAAGCATGCTCTCCGCTCTTTCTTGGAAGAGGCGAACGAGGAAATGGATGAGAGGAAAGAGAATGAGAATGGGTAGGGGGAATAAGGTGGAAAAGGAGGGTTAGGAAGAGTAGTAGCTAAATGAAGAAAAGGATGATGACGATGGTGACGGAAGGGAGGAATAAGGGACGGAGGAGAGAGAGAGAGAGAGAGAAGAGAGAGAGAGAAGGGGGGGGGGAGGCAAATGGATGAATGGCCGTTTCGTTTCGTGATCTTATCAGCCCACTCTCCGTACCAAGGCAACTGCAGTAAGTGACCAACACGGCAGCAAGAAAAGGTTCACAACAGGGCGGCATAAGGCGGGGAACCTCGCAGGCGAACACCTGCTCAGAATGTTACACCGTTACCTAGCATTACGGATTTCCATGATATTCTAGTCAATATCAGTGCTCAGGATCCAAGCCCACTCGAGCACAGGAAACGTGGCCTTCCAGCAGAGGTGGCGAGCGCACCTGGGGGACAGACGAGAGAACCGCCAGGACGATGCGCTGTCGTCTCTCGTATATATTTCAACCAAGAAATGCATCTTAATTATTATCTCTGAAAGCTTTAGAGGAGCGATCGCCTCTCCCCCTCAGCGTGCTTTGATCGCGCGGAATTCGGCAAAGGTAACGGCGTTGCACCTGCGAGTTGCATCACTCGATGTCATTTGAAATCCATACGAGAAACGCAACTAAAAGAATCATGATATCCGATGCACTTTTAATACCAGTTCTTACAATTCTTGACCTTTAGCCCTATTTCGCGGGTGAGAGGCAGATATAAAAGAAAATTATATCTGTAGGCTCAATTAACGGGAGAGAAGACATGAAGCGACAAGAATATAAACCTTATTGGGGAACAGAATGTCAGATCAAAAAGGGTCTCTTTTACAGTCGGAGAGAGAGAGAGCGTGTGTGTGTGTGCGTGTTAAATGTTGTGTGTGTGTGTGTGTGTGTGCGTGTTAAATGTTGTGTGTGTGTGTGCGTGTTAAATGTTGTGTGTGTGTGTGTGTGTGTGTGTGTGCGTGTTAAATGTGCGTGTGTGTGTGTGTGTGCTGCGTGTGTGTGTGTGTGTGTGTGTGTGTGTGTGTGTGTGTGTAACGTTTCGAATCCTTCAAGAGTTCTTCATCAGACGGATAAATAACTGATACGGAACTTCGGTTACTGATTCGTCTGATGAGGTGTGTGTGGGTGTGGGTGTACGCTCCGATTTATTAAAATTTCTTTTCGTGGCTGTTTTCCTTTTCACACGCACTCATACACAGGGCCGATAACAAGAAGGGCTAAAGTCAACGTTAAGAAAAACGCATTTGAAAGTTAATAGAAATTCATTAAATAATAATGCACGAAATGGATTCTTTGAGACTAATCAAACTGTGTGGCATGAATCTAATCCTTATAAAGATATTTTCTAACATAACGAAAATAACGAATATTTTTCATGACGAGAAAGACATATAATAGTCTGTACTCTGTTAACTGTTGTGCTTTCAAAAACAACCATTAAAAATAACAATGATAGGCAAAAATGATGGTATAATAATAAGCAATATTGAGACATTACGATTCTGACGATGATATTATAGAAATATTAACAACAACAATAATAATGATGATAAAAATAATTGTACTGATAAAATATTTATACTAGATAATATAACACAAAATAATATAACCATAATAATTATAATAATGAAAATGATATTCTAATAAGAATAACAACATTATAGTAGCAGTAGTAGATGTAATAATAATATTGATCAAAATAACAATGATGGTAATAATCATGATGTGAAATAATTATAATTTGAAAGTAAACAGAGTAATCCATGAATTACAAAAAATAAAATGGAAATTATAACAATCACATACAC